GGCTGTCCACCTGGAGTGAGTCTGTGTTGTCTAATTCATGAGGACTCACAGCAGGCCTGTTCCAGTGCAAGCACATCACAGAAGTTTATAAACACCACTGTGTTTAACCCGCATAAAAGAAGAGCAACAGAGATATTATCATCCTCACTTTACAGAGGGAGAAATTGACCTGGAGGAGTAAAATTACCAGCTCAAGTTTTCCTGGTATAGAGAAGTGGAGAGGGTATGGAAAAAGAGGAAGACTGGAATGTATCCAATAGTGTTGAATTGAAATTATAGTTATTAGTATGAACTCATGGTTTTTAATAAGTAGATACAGAAACAAATGTAAGCTAACAGCAACGACATGCTACTAGCAATAAATATATTCAGCATCCAGATCATTGTTTCTAAATATTATTTTCATTCTAGAAACCAGGTTTCCTTGAGGTAAATATCTATGTTGGGGATGGGGCAAAGAAGGCACAAGATAAGCCTAAAGCATACTATTTTGCCAGGAAGTGAAAAGTGCTGAAGGAATGATGGGGAAATTCCCAAAGCACACTGAATCCAGCTAGAGGGGCCCACTGGCCACATTAACAATAAAATGGAAAGCTATCCATTGAACAAAATAAAAAACCATGAGACCACAATAATAAAAACAAACAAACAAACAAATAAATAATATAAAGAGCTTCGTTACTGAAACAAAACAACAATTGGTCCAAAGCTACATAGTCAGGTTTCAAACTACCAGCTGTGTTCTTGTAGAACTTATGTTTATTCTTGAGTCATGGAACGTCTATATTGTAAGAGAAAGGTGACTTCCTAGGGAAAGTGTGGTATCTTCACTTAGTGGGACTGGATTCAAGATGGACTTTCCCATGACTGTCCTCTCCAGTCATTGATACTTGGCATATACTTTTTTGAGGTTATTTCTAAAGCATTAGCCAGAGTGAAGACATCCTTTAGAAAAATAAACCTGGTATTCAGTTGACTGTTCTGCGCCTTTGCTTTTAGAGTTGACACATGGATTCTGTTCTCATCAGAAATATCATTGTGAGAAGAGGGAGAAGGAGGAGGAGGAGAAAGAGGGGGAGGAGAAAGAAGACGACGAAAAGAAGAGGAAGAAGAAAGAAGGAAGAAGAAGCAGAAGGAGGAGGAAAGAAGGAGGGGAGGAGGAGAAGAAGAAGGAGGAGGAGGAGGAGAAAAGAACAACAACAAGAATAAGAGGAAAGAAGAAGAGGAGGAAGAGGAATAAGAGGAAAAAGAAGAGGAAGAAGAAGAAGGAGGAGGGGAGAAGGAGAAGAAGAAGGAAGTAGGAGGAGGAGGAGAAGAAGAAAAAGAACAACAACAACAAGAAGAAGAAGAAAGAGGAGGAGGAGAAAGAAAAGGAAGAAGAAGAGAAATAAGAAGCAGCAGAAGAGAAGGAGGAAGAAGAAGAAGATTCCAAACAAACAAACCCAAGCTCAAAATCACTGGAGGGTGGTGTTCGCTAAGACTAAAGCAAGGTTTCGAGAAAGAGCTGAACGTTAGGCCCTGGGAAGATCAGGAAGCAAATCTTCTGCAGAATTGCTCTGTGATGTGATGGATTTTGCCATCTTCCTTTTCATGGTATCTTGGAGTCCGTCTGCTGCTCTGCTCTGATTTACCCTGATCTGTTTCTTCGGGAACTCTGCCCTTCCCAACAATGTTATACATAAGAGGTACTAGGAGACTTTCAGAAGTTTAACTGTACTATCTGAAATTCCCTTTTCTGTTTCTTGGTTGAAATTCCCAGTGCAAAGAGTGTCATTAACTTTATTCATTTTTTTAATGCCAAGCAGCACGCAGTCCATGGATGGCCCACCTTTACTTAGGTGTTTCCTCATTGTTCAGTAAGCTGACACAGTCCGAGGGGGTGAGTGGGTTAAATGAATCACATATTAAACTCCACACTCTGTAGGGAATGCTGGTGGTGAGTTCCCTAGTGCAGATGTCTGGATCTCAATGGAACCAAAAAGCAACTAGGGTTGCTATAACCACATTCCCGTTATAGTGATAAGTTTGATAAGAGAGAGAAAAAAAAATCTTTCAGCAAGGAGGTTGCAAGGATGCAAATGTTTTGCATCCTTTGATGTCCCTTGACTACTGCTCATTTAAGAATTTTAGGACCCCTGCTGTGTGTGGTCAGGGGACCTAGACTGAAGGGGCCCCCATACTTGTGGGCAGTTCTGTAACTACTCTAGGCCCTATTTCCGCTCTCTGCTTGAGACTTCTTCCCTCATCTATTTCCTTTGGTTGAAACCTCCTTGGACATCCCTCCTCCCTGCACTGGCCCTGTTTGGGTTGCAATCAAGTCTCAGATGCTCTTCTTGACCAGGAAGTCCCTTAAGTTGTTAATTTTATAAGCATCCTTAAGTCCTACCTGTTCACAACCAGTCTTGACATTTTGCTTCCGATTTTTGACTGTTAGTAATGGCTAACATTTACGGAGGACTTGTTACGTGTCAGACATTATGGTAAGCTCTTTTTGCATTAACTTATTTAATACCTGTGAGGCATTCTCCCTACTTTACAGATGATGAAATAAAGTTTAAGAAAATTAAATAACTTGCCAAAGCTAGCACAACTATTAAGTGGCCAAGATAGAATTCAAACCTTTTATGTCTGAATATATGAGCCTAGAAATTTCTGCCTTGCAGTATACTTGTCAGCAGCAAAGAGCCTAGCACTCTCTGTGTATCATGCTCCCATTTTTCCAGCTGTGCCATACATTTAAGGTTGATCTCCCCACTTCAGCTGCCTCAGAGTATCCATCTCCTGAGTTTCAGACTTGAGCCTAGTTGGAAGCACAAAGGCGGTTCTTGGATACTGTTTTCTTCCCAGAATTCCTTTGTAGTTTAGTTCTCAGGCACATCAAACACAAGCTGTAATCTTGTTATTTTTTCCCACTCAGCTCCAGATTGGCTTTCAAGAAGTTGTTTTATGTTTTTCTTCTGAACTCTAGACCCCTAAATTTCAGCTGACAATAATGGGCAACATCATGCGCCTAACACAAATTCCGAAGAAACTGGCCCTGTCAGAAGAGGCAAATGCAATTATATGGCTCACTGGTCTTGTCTGGCTATCAATTTGCTTGAGGAAATTTGATAAGAATGGAACCTATAATTGACTTGGCTGATATCTATACATATATTCCACCACCCCTAGCCAAAGTTAGGGTTGAGAAAATATGGCATCTTTTACTTGCCAATTACCAAGCCTACCTCTTAAAGTCTTTTTTAATGGGAAAAAACCCCTCAAAAACAACTATTAATAATCTTGCCTGATTGAATCAAATGAGGTCCCCTTCTTCATTTGTATGTGTCTCCCTGGATGTCAGGTCACTTTGTCCCATTGATGCTGAGGTAGATGACACAGAGTAAATAAAGATGGCTTAGTCACATTCTAAATGCCTGCAATTTCTCTGTCCTTAGACCTATGTAGCATGACCTGAGTCACAGGAGGGAGCATGAGGATCATCTATATCCCTCACCTGGGAAACACTAATATCTGTGCATGTATGCATGGTCACAGAACTGTGTGCATACATGCACAGATATGTGTGTTCCTAAAAATTCCTAATATGTCCTTCTTGTCATCTGAATATAAAAAGGAAATGGCTCTGGCACAAAAAGATCAACACTCTCAGCTTTCTCCAGCATATCACCTTCATCCTACAGCAGAAAAAAAAAAAAACATTTGGAGCAAAAGTTGCTGGTATCAAATCTCACTTTGCTAATTAACTTTTTACTTCACCTTCTTTTCATTTTAACCTGTTTCTTTGTCTGTAGAATAAATGGGATAATATCAACTCTACCTTTCAACACTAACTCAAAAGAATCCATGTCAAGTATATGGGGACATTTAAGGACGACTAAGCTCTTAGCACTCTTGCACATATGTTGAAATTGTCATTTGACAAAAAGTTCAGATATTATAGCACAAGTTTCCTGTGCTCCATTAAACTCACAATGGTAGATTTATGTAATAGTGCAAACTCTCACTGAGTAACAACATGGGCATTGGATTCAGACAAACTCAATTCCTAGCACTACTGCCATAGGGCTTTGGACAAATAATGTTATCACTATAAATCTCAGTTTCTTCACCTGTAAAAGGTTGGTGGTAGAATGGTTATATCCACCTTACAAAGCCGTAATGAGAATTAAAAAAGACACAGCACTTAACACTGTACTTGGCACATAGTATATACCCCAAACCATGGTTACTATAAGACCTTTACTACTATCATTAGTAATAATTTCAAACTGAAGTTGTTACAAAAAAATCTATGTCTAGGACACCCGGGTAACGCTAATCTTTCATCAGGACCTCAAGCCTTTTTCTCCTATGTTAGTTTCTTCCTTGTTTCTGGAATTAAATGAGGCCATCGAAGTCCAGACAAGATTTCCCCAGGAGAAGCTTCCCCTTCAGTGAGTCAGGGTGAGCACAGAGGATTGGTTCTGCATTAGACAGGAACCTGGCTGAGCAAGGACGAATCTGATCACACAGCTAAGGAAGTCTGTCTTTGCAGAGACGCAGCCTCGCTGAGCTCTTCCAACAAAGGACCTCGGGGCTTTTTTTCCTCTTCAAACAACGGCTTATTAGAACTGATAAAATTAAAGAACACCTCTAAAATCTGCCACTTTCATTTAATAAAGTAACAGGTGGGGCCTGAACTGACTAATGATGTCAAGGCCTTTCATTTGTGGCGAGCCAATTTCCTCTGAACATGGAAGGCTAGTCTTAAATAAGATGAATCTCCTTCCCTACCTGGTTCCTTCTAAGCATGGTGCCACAATTAATGAAAACCGCCAGACATTTCCAGTGCTAACCTGTCAAATAAAGATTCCCATCTTGAGAGGTATGGGCAGCTTCAAGGCTTGTGGCTCTTTGTTTGCCCATATTCTTCCAACCTCTTCAGACTAAATGTCTGGTTAAAAATGAATAGGGGAGGGTGAAGTTTGTGTACCCACAGCTGAAAGACCTGGAGAGAGGCAAAATGTTATTTTGTTTTCCAGTGATACATATTTAAGAAACCTGGAATATATATGAGATTGTAAAGCCTTATACACCATCTCGATGAAACGGCAAGTTTCCCTGACAAACACAATTTCGGAAATCACTTAAAGAAACAGTCTTCTAAACCATTAGAAGTTATTAAGTACCTGGTATAGTCAAGATCTTGCTTAGATTTTTCTTTGAATCAAATCAAAAGAAGAAAATTTCCTTCATAAATATATTATTACTTTTGGGGCTAGTATGTAACTAGAATCTCAGTCCAGTAAAAGATAATACTGATAACAAATATTTAAATGAGATTTTATATATTCACATTCATTACTTTGTTAGCTGCCCACAGAGGAATCTGAGCTGGTGTAGTGTTTCTAATAGTGTGGTGGACAGATGTACTGCAATGGATTCTGCTGGTTTTGGTCATGCAAGGATGTTTAAAATGCACATCATGAGCCTCTCTGAGAATCTACTGAGATACAATATCCATGGATTTTGGACTGGGAACCTCCATTGTCCTCTAGCTTTACTGGTGATTCTTCTGTATCACTTGTAATTAAGTATTTCTGATTATTCTTTTCTTGTGAAGAGAGCTCCCTGAGTGTAGCTCTTGGCTTTTCTACACCTTTTTGCTGACTCCATCCCACGAAATGTGGAATAGTATGCCTGATTGTAATTTTGGGCAAAGAATAATCAGGGCATTCTTGGGTTAACTCCATTACCCGTTATCCTAGAGAGGTAACTGCCTTCAGAAAGAAGATCAGTATGTGGCCCGGGCGTGGTGCTCACACCTGTAATCCCAGCACTTTGGGAGGTTGAGGTGGGCAGATTATCTAAGGTTGGGAGTTCAAGACCAGCCTGACCAACATGGAGAAACCTTGTCTCTACTAAAAGTACAATAATTAGCTGGGTGTGGTGGCATGCACCTGTAGTCCCAGCTACTCAGGAGGCTGAGGCAGGAGGATCGCTTGAACCCAGAAGGCAGAGGTTGCAGTGAGCCAAGATTGTGCCACTGTACTCCAGCCTGGCAAGAGAGCGAGACTCTTTTTCAAAAACCAAAAACAAACAAACAAACAAAAAGGAGTCAGTATGGGGAGGCAACTAACCCCAAGCCCCCATTCACTCTGGTCAGAGAAACAACTATGTTTTAAAACGTGCTCATTTTCTTTTCTTTTTCAATAACAAAGTAAAAACTGACATGTTTCTTATTTTCCAATTGAATGGTAAATTCTCTTTCTTCTGTCAACTCTCCCTCCTTCCTCCAACTCTCTAAAAAATTTTGCTGTCTTTTCAAGGTTATTTACATTTGATTCTTGAACAGTGTGTGGGTTTGGGGTGCCAACCTTCTGCACAGTAAAATATGCTCATATAACTTCGTCCCAAACTTAACTATCGAGAGCCTACTGTTGACTTACCAATAACATAAACAGCCAATAAAGACATTTTATATGTTAAATGTGTTGCTTACTATATTCTTACAATAAAGTGAGTTAGAGAAAAGAAAATTTTATTAGGAAAATAAGGAAGAGAAAATGTATTTATTACTTATTAAGTGGAAGTGAACCATCATAAAAGTCTTTAACCTCATTGTTTTCAATTTGAGAGGGCTGAAGAGGAGAAGAAGACAGATTGATTTGCTGTCTCAGAGGCAGAGTCTATGCATAGACAAAAGCCAGATTTTTCAGGCAATATAAGCTGTGAGCATAGTTTTTAAAACCAGTTGTAATGTTATGGAGCAATTTCATCATGGCAGTTCAGCATCATGAATGAAGACTTGGGTCCTTTGTTATGGTTCATTTTTGGAGTCCTTACTCTGCCATATATTAGTAGTGTTGTGTGGAACATATTGCACATTCCATAGGCCTGTGTAATGAATGGCTAGTGTGTGTGATTTCTAATATCAATAGGATGCCATTCTGTGGAATCATCAAGGAATATTAATGGCTAAATGAAACATCAATTCCTGTTTCCGCCCACTTACCTGTAGTGTGTTCATCAAGTTGTCTACTTCTCTAAACCTCTTTGTCTTATACTTAAAAATGACTGCCCTATATTCCTACAGACTGTGTGGGTGCAAGAAAAAAGTCATTAATATAGATACCTTTGAAAATTTTAAAACTCTTTGGAAATATGGGCCATAATAGTAATTTAAAAAGATATTCTATTTGTACTTTTTTCTAGCAGACACAAATATATGTGTTAAGTATGGTGAAGGCTTACTTTTGCTATTAACCTTTGGCTTCAAACAAATATTCATTCTTTCATTTCAATTAAGGATGTGGACATGTGCTTCACCTTCTAGGTAACTCACTAAAACTCTTATGTCAGCCATGGAATCCTTTCCTTTGCTTTCCCTTTGGCCAATCATTAATTGTTTTCTTTTTTTAAAAACATCCAGCTGCAAACACCTGTCCATTGCAACCAGAATGAAAAAATTTCATTCTGCAATAAATAAGTAGTAGTTTTTTATAAAAACTTTTAGGTTCATGGGTACATGTGCAGGCTTGTTATACAGGTAAAATCATGTTGGGGGTGGGTGGTGTACAGATTATTTCATCACTGAGGTACTAAGCCTACTATCAATAGTTATTTTTTCTGATCTTCCCTCCTCCCACCCTCCACCCTCAAGTAAGCCCCAGTGTCTCTTGTTCCCTTCTTTGTGTTCATGTGTTATCATCATTCAGTTCCTACTTATAAATAAGAACATGCAGTATTTTTTTTCTGTTCCTGTGTTAGTTTGCTAAGGATAATGGCCTCCAGCTCCATCTGTGTTCCCACAAAGGATGTGACCTCATTCTTTTTTATGACTACACAGTATTCTATGATGTATATGCATACCACATTATATTTATCCAATCTGCTATTGATGGGCATGTAGGTTGATTCCACATCTTTGTTATTTTGAATAATGATGCAATGAACATATACAAGTATGTGTCTTTATGATACAACAATTTATATAACTTTCAGTATATATCCAGTAATGGGATTGTTGGATCATATGGTAGCTCTGTTTTTAGCTCTTTGAGAAATTATCACATGCTTTCCACAATAGTTGAACTAATTTACACTCCCACCAACAGTATAAGTAAGTGTTCCCTCTTTTCTGCAACCTCAACAGTATCTGTAATTTTTTGACTTTTTTATAATAGCCATTCTGACTAGTGTGAATGGTCTCGCAGTGTGGTTTTGATTTGCGTTTCTTTAATGATCAGTGATATTGAGCTTTATTTCATATGTTTGTCAGCCACAAGTATGTCTTCTCTTGAAAACTGTCTGTTCATGTCCTTTGCCCACTTTTTAATGGGATTTTTTTTTCCTTGTAAACTTGTTTAAGTTTCTCATAGATGCTGGATATTAGACTATATATTATATAAGAATAACATTGAATCTGTAAATTGCTTGGCCAACATGGCTATTTTAATGATATTGACTCTTCCTATCCATGAGCATGAAATGTTTTTCCATTTGTTTGTTTCATCTCTGATTTTGCTGAGCAGCGTTTTGTAATTCTCATTGTGGAACTCTTTCACCTCCCTGGCTAGCTGTATTCCTAAGTATTTTATTCTTTTTGTGGCAATTGGGAGTAGGATTGTGTTTGTGGTTGGCTCTTGGCTTAGCTGTTGTTGGTGTATAGAAATGCTAATAATATTTATGCATTGATTTTTGTATCCTGAAACTTGACTAAAGTCGTTAATCAACAGAAGGAGCTTTTAGGCCAGTCCTATGGGGTTTTCTAGAAGTAGAAAAGAAAATAGAAAACTTAGAAGAAAAGGAAAATTCCTGGACATATACAGCCTCCTAAGACTGAACCAGGAAGAAACTGATTCCCTGAATAGATCAATAATGAGCTCCCAAATTTAATCAGTAAGAAATAGCCTACCAACCAAAAATAAATAAATAAATATAAATAAATAAATAAATAAAAGCCCAGGACCAGGCAGATTCACAGAGGAATTCTACCAGATGTACAAAGAAGTGTTCTTATGAAAACTATTCCAAAAAAATTGAGAAAGAGGGACTTCTCCTTAACTCATTTTAGGAGGTCAGCATCATTCTGATACCAAAACCTAGCAGAGACACAGCAACTAAAAACATCAAGCCAATATCCTTAATGAACATTGATGCAAAAATGCTCACAAAACACTTGCAAACTGAATTCAGCAACACATCAAAAAGCTAATACACATGATCAAGTTAGCTTTATCCCTGGGATGCAAGGTTGGTTCAACATACACAATTCAACAAGTATGATTCAACACATAAGCAGAACTAAAGACAAAAATCAAATGATTATATCTTAATAGTTGTAGAAAAGGCTTTCAATAAATTCAACATTGCTTCATGGTAAAAAATCTCTGCTGGGCATGGTGGCTCACACCTATAATCCCAACACTTTGCAAGGCCAAGGTGGGTAGATTGCTTAAGCCTCAGGAGTTTTAGACTAGCTGGGCAACATGAAAAAAACCTGTCTCTACAAAACAATACAAAAACTAGCCAGGTATGGCAGTGTGCACCTGTATTCCCAGCAACTCAGGAGGCTGAGGCAGGAGGATTCATTAAGCCTGGGAAGTCAAGGCTGCAGTGAGCCATGATTATGCCACTGTACTCCAGCCTGCATGACAGAACGAGACCCTGTCCAGAAACAAAAGCAAAACTCTTAATAAATTGTGTTTTGAAGGAACATATCTCAAAATAATAGCCATCTGTGACAAACCCACAGCCAACATCACACTGAATGCACAAAAATTGGAAGCATTTCCCTTAAAAACTGGGACAAGACAAGGATGCCATCCCTCACTGTTCCTATTCAATGTAGTATTGGGAGTCCTGGCCAGAGCAATCAGGGAAGAAAAGTAAATAAAGTGCATCCAACTAGGAAAAAAAAAAGGTGAAACTATTACTGCTTGCAGATGAAATTATTCTATGTCTAGAATAAATTGCTGTTTACACTTTTGATACTCTTATTCCACTGTAAACTCCTTAAGGAAAGGTCAGATGTTATATTTTTATTTTGTACAACTCTAGATTCTGTCACAATGCTAAGCAAAGAATGTGTGCTAGATAAAAGCATATGTTGAATTGAATAGAGTTGAAATCATTTTTTTTAATAATGTAGGCTGTACATATTTTTGTTAAATAGGAGGATCTTGAAAAATATAAGTAAATTCAAAGAATTTGTAATATATTCACCAAAAGCCATCAGTTTTAATTTTTTTTTAAGAAACAGCTTTATCAAGGTACAAATTACATACCAAAAATATGTGTAGAGTTCAATGCATTTTCTTAAATTTATTCATTTGTGCAACAATCACCACATCCAGTTTTAGAACACACTGATCATCTGAAAAAGTTTCTTTCTACCCATTTAAATCATATTATAATAATATACAAAGAATTTCATTTTTAGAAGAAGAAAAAATCCTAATATAAATATTTTCCCCATGGAATTAAGAACATAAAATATAAACATTGGAATCACTGCTTTATAATCTACAAATGATGTGCCCAAATTACCTTCTAATTTTATTCCAATATAAACTACAAATATATTAGAGAAAAAATCTTTGCATATACATTTCTGAAGTAAAACAAAATCTTTAATATTGATTACCATAGCTAGAATCACTGAATTTTGCCATATTACGTAGGTAATTGTTTTTCAAATATTTACAATTTCCTTTTCCCAAATAAGCATTAAGAGTGATTATTGCCACTTTCGAGTATAACTAATATTTGTAATTACAGAAAATTATATAAACTTTTGCAAATTTTAAGGATGATTTCAGAGGACGTGAGCATTGGTTGAAGTTGGGGCTGATGTAAATAGTTTTGAGCAATTTGTGTGCTCCTGCTTGAGAGTGCCCTTAGGGCTTAGAGCAGCCTGTGTTGAATCATCAAGCTCTACACACAGGGCTGTGTCTGCCTGGGCCCTCCTCTACATCACACAAAGGCATGCTCTGCTCTCTAAGCCCTGTGCTCATTCAAAGAGAGCACTTCTGTCTAATTGGTACAAAGGCTTCCTATGGACCAGCTCGGGCCCTGATTGGGGTTTTCAGGATAAGGCAGTTGCAATCTGAATCCTTGTTTGCTCTGCAAGCACCACTTCAGGGAAGTAGCCAAGCTCAAAGTGTAGAGACTAACCTATAGAGGCTCAGGTAAACAGAGCTGTCCATCTGGGGAGCTTGGAAGGCTGCTAAAGGTTGTCAAAGTTCTCCACAATTGACTTGTCCATCCTCATCTCTCACTGCAGTTCCCTTGGGGTTTCCCTCCTGCCCTCCATACCTGCTGCCACCTTCGGTGAATTTCTTCTTTCTGCTGTGATCATCCATTCCACTGTCCATCCAACACTTTTCATCCTTCAAGATTTGCCTCACGGTCTTAGAATGTGGAATCCTCTCTTGTTGCTCCAATGTCAACTATTCTGGGTGTGTAATTATCCTATCCTTCCCTTTGAACTCATTGCGTTTCTGACATCATATCATGCAGTACTAGTTAAGTGCACATGATCTGAAGCTGATTAGGCTTGAAATCTGGCTCTGATAATTAACCAACAGAGAACCCCTTGGAAAGTTTCCAAATCTCTCTTTGCCTTAGTTTTTTTTGTGTATAAAATTGAAATAATAGTTCCTACCTCTCTGAGTTGTTATGACAATCAGCAAGTTAGTACCTAGCAAATATTTTTTTTCTTTTACGTGAATTATTTTGTTTTGCCAAATATATTGTAAGCTATCTGAGAGCAGTAAAGAAAAATAAGTTGGGATAGGTGTGACTCACTAAGCCCAGAGCTAGACTAGCCATCTATTGATTCTTAGCTCTCTGTTCCTTTGACTTTTGCCATTTTGTCTGACATCAATAATTTTTTTTTTTTTTTATAATGAAATAGTGATAATATTGATAGTCATAATAAAGATTTCTTCAAAGTGTATTATGTGCAGCTTTTAAAATTTGTGCAAGTAAGTCTTTTCTTTATGCTTATAAATGAGAGATCATGAATTTTATTATATTATTTATCTATTATATTATGTATTTATTATATTATTTATTATTTTATTATAACCTAGATATTTTCTTCTCTTTCCCCCCCAAGTATCCTCTCCCATCCTATGAAATATGTTTTTAGTGCTATGTTTTCTTAACTTTAAATAAAAGTACAAGAGGAAGTATTCAATCAAAACAAATCTAATTGGCTACACACACAACTACAACCTCATTTCATCCATATTATTAGAACAGTTAATTGGACCTGCAGAGCCACCAGCTAAATCATTGGTTTATGCAAACAGTGAATCTAATTTTCTCTAAAACATCTTTTTGCAGGAACAGGAAAACAAGATAGGAAGGAGAAATGATTCTGAGTGCAACTTAAAAAGATCAATTTGGTTTCAATTATCTGCCTTTGCCAGATAGGCATCAAAAAATATTAACACATTATTGAAATGAAAAAAAGCTATATATTTATGTATTTTATATATATATATATATATATATATATATACACACACACACGCATACATACACACATACATAATTTCTTCCACATTGAAAGAGCAAAAACAGTAAAATAAATAATACATTTTATACTGCAGCTGAATTCAGCCAGAATCAGCAGGGATGGGCTTCCCCTCTTTCCCATCCTCCTTCATCCAAATCTTTTATAAATATTGTTCTTCA